CTAATCATGTTATAGTTAAGAATAAATTGGGATTACACTAACATAGCTTAGTTTTTGTATGGTAAAGGCAGTGTACATGGTAGATTAAAGGAACCATGACAATGGAAGCTTACATACAGCAAGAATAGCAGAGAAAAACATTTTGGAACTCACTTGGTCTGTTCTACCTCAGCTGCCATATTCATCTGACCTTGCACCAACCAATTATTACCATTTTCAATCACTACCAAATCCTTTGATAGGGAAAACTTTCTTTAATGAAAACCACTTTTAAGAAAGAGTTGAAAACCTTTTCACATCAAAAGCTGCAAAATTTCACTCAAAAGGTATGAAAGAGCTGCTTAATAAGTGACAACAATTCATTGCAAAGAATGGTGAATATATAATTAAGTATAATATAATTGTACTTTCTTTTTTTAAGTATAAATTTCATGAACTAAAAATTGGAAACTATTTATCACTCAACCTTGTGTGTGTGTGTGTATATATATATATATACTAGCAGCATGGCCCGGCATTGCCCATGCTTGATTCAAAAATCGTACGACTCATACAGCATCACTATCACTCGACTTAAAATATTTTTGCCCTTCCTTGCCTTTAAAGGAGTGCCCTTTGCCATGCTGATGTTGCTACATGCCTTACTTCTTGCCTATCTCACACTGCAAATTTTTTCTAAGCTCTATACTAAACATTAAATCTGTTATGAAAAAAGAACTGAACAAAATGAATACAAAACAATAAGCTTTAAAAAAGGACTCGTAACTGGAAAAACTGAATGAAAAAAGAATGTTAACAACAAATACTTTTTCACACACAACCCAGAATCAATGTTGAGTTTAAGCAAGCGAATGAGCCAATTGGAGTAAAGTGCCATGCAGATTTAAATTTTTCCCACTTGTGACGAATGCAGCTATCAATTTTTTTTGCATGCTAGCATGCTAGTTAACATTTGTGTCAGTCAGCTGTTGGCTCTCACGCTGGCCAATAAATCTTCCTGCCTATTCGTGGCAGCCAGTTATAGGCTCTCACTCTGGCCAGTAGAAAATGGCCGCAAACTACATGAAAACTTCCGTAGAAGCATGAAAAAAATCGATTATTTCCACTATCAATGGGAGTTAGGAAATGCAAAGTTGGTCTTGGCCTTTCCACTAACTTGGAGCGTGTGCATGTAAATTTTGGTGCAAATCCGTCAAAAATTCATTACATACACACACACACACACACACACACATCCTGCCTTTTATAGACAGAGATACACACACACAAGGTCTGATTAAAAAGTTTCCTCAAGTATGCAGAGTGAAGTCACTTAACACAGATTGACCTTGAAATCTGTTGCACATGCACACTAAGTTATATTGTTCTTGCTCATTTCTGTTGTTTACAGCTATGCTTGGAAGTGTGTAGAGTGTGGTTTTCTCACCACACCACGGTTTCCATCAGTAAGCATGGCTTGTACAGCAGTATTTGGCCAACCATAACAACATTCTCCAGATCTGACAATCACCATATTCTCCAGATCTTGCCCCTTCAAAAATCAAATCCCATTTGATTTTAACAAAATTTCAAGACATTGAAGAAATACAAAAGAATGTGATGAAGTAGCTACTTGCTATCCCAAAAAAGGGGTTCCAGAAATGCGTCCATCAATGAAAATGATGCCAAATAAAGTGCGTGGTTTCAGAGCAGGGACTACTTCAAAGGAGATTAAAAACCGAATTTATATATGTTGTAGTTTTCTCTTTATAGCACCAGTCCCAATACTCTTTGATTAAACCTCATATAAACACACAGAGATATGAGTTGAATATATGGATTATTAAACAAGGAGCAAATAAAGAAAGCCTTTATAAATGTAACCCGTTTTGATGTTTATTTAGCTCAGTGATTCTCAACTGCCATGCTGCTGCACATTAATGTACCACACAATATTCTCATGGTGTGTATATATATATATATATATATATATATATATATATGTGTGTGTGGAAGTAGTAATGGTACAGCATTAGTATTTGAATAAATGAATAAGTATTAAACTTTCTTTCAAATAATTCTTTTCAGTATGTTCCTTCTAATATTGGACTTCAATTATGTGAAGAAGATGAATTGGCCACCATTTCTAGTGATTTAGGGCTCAAAATAAAACATTCAACGGTACTGATTGATATATTTGGGATTTCAGCACAAAAGGAATATCCCACATTAACTAAAAGGCTTTATCAGTTTTATTGCAATTTTCTACTTCTTATTTATGCGAATTAGGCTGCTCAACCCTAAATAACATAAAAAATAAGAAGTGAGAAAGACTACTCTTAACTGAAGAAAACAATGAGGATCTGCTTATCATTTGACCAAACATTGAAGAAATTGCAAAAAAATACCAAGCACAGGTTTCACACTAAATAAGTTGCATAAATAGTTGATTAGAAACATTGAAATAAAGTAAGTTCATATTGGTGTGTGTATTTTTTTAAAAATCTATTGTTTTATTCCATGACATTTAAATGCATACTCTTTAAAAATGTTGCTAATGTGCTGTGATATTTTCATTTGCTCTTAAGTGTGCCATTGCTTAAAAAGGTTGAGAAACACTGATTTAACTCCTTCAGAAATTCCACTCCCAAAATCTCTGTTGGAACTAAATAAAGAGTTAAACCTGTTAAATTTCCTTCTTGTTCCTTATTTAATCACATATAGAAATGCAACATATATCTTTGTGCACCTAGTACTTTTTTTGATAACAGAACCCCTTGTTTATATACTTTTATGTTGTTAACACAATATTTTGACCAATTTATACTTTAGCATTTGTCAGTTATACTCAGTGACAAAACAAAAAAAAATTTTTTTTCTTCAAGGAGTCCATTTTGTGTTTTTCTCCTTGAAGAAAAAAAATTTCTAAAGTTCTTTAGAGTCTGTCTATATTTCTTTCGTTTCAGCCGTTGTACACTCCAGCCTTCTTCAGGTGGTTGGAATGTTGAACTGAACCGTTTATTTTGCTCACTGGGATAGACTGTTCTAGTTCCACGAGCCATGTTTGATGGATGTCAGTTATCTCCTATTAATTTCCCTCTTAAAGTCCTCCACTGCCTTAACCAGGTATTGAACCCACACTTTTTGGGCCCTGTCACTGGATCTAACCAACACCTTTATCCACTGTGCCATGTGTCCTGGGTATGAATTTTTGGGTATTATAAACCTAATGTCTTCAGCAACCATTTTTTATGAGTGCTCATATTGCAATTTTGCTGTTATCATTCCATGTTTTTACTAGAGCTCATATTGCAACTTCGTTGTTATCATTGATTTTCTCTGGCACTCCTTATTACTGGTTCCCATATTGTATTTATTTTTATGCTTGGTCGGCTCAGGAGATTTTTGTGGCCTAGCATATGTGCTGATTCCTTAAGTTTTCGAATTTTCCAATGATGTTCCTTGTCAATGATCTCAACATGATCCCACAGAGGGCGGTGATCTCCCTTCTCTCTCCATATGTGGTTGCCTGATTTTTCTACTTCCCTTTGTGTTACAGCTTTCTGGTGTTCTTGAAGCCTTACCTTGAGGGGGCGGCCTGTCTCTCCTTTGTATTTCTTTCCTCAGCTGTACGGGATAGCGTACACACAGTCTTTAGTCATGTTCTCCTCTATGGAGGGGGGGGTTCTTACTCGGGAGAGAATTTATCTTTCTCTCTCACTGAATTCGCTTGATGATGGCTAAAGAATGGATTGGCCAAAACACTGTGTTAGCAGCAGCAAGAATGGTTTCTATTACCTGAACAATACTGTATATTTTAATTATTGTTCTTATCTCCATGTTATACCCACTGGTTTTCTTCAGGTATCAGTCTTTGTTCTTAGCAGCCATCTTGGAATTTTAAACCAAAATCCTTATAGAATTCCTTGTTATTATTCTGCTTTCCTTGCTTTGGGGATATTTCATATTCTTCTTCACCTTTGTGTTGCTTGTTCATTTCTTCCACTGAACCAGAACATAGGGCTCCCCCAGGGATTGAACTTATAACTGTCATAGAATAAGATATGTTTTAACCAATGCTTTTCAACCTGAAAACTCGTGTTCTTAAATAGCTTTGTCAGATCAAGACTTTCATATGGATGATCTTCATGGCACCAAACCCATTCAGAAATATCTAAACTGTCAGCTGCATCAGTCAGTTATGTGCCATATGTAATACATGCTTAGGCAATCATGTATCTTTCAATACTTGACTGATAAGGCAGATTTTTCCCCACAGTAGGTTGCCATTTTTTCTGTGGTAGACCAGTTGCCACCCAAAGCTATAGGACCCAGTCTGTCCTGCTATTTACCCATAGCTGGGAGGAGGAGGAGGAGGATTTATATCTTTCCCAAGGGTATTAGCATGTAAGTAAATACAATAACTTTCTAAGATTAATGGTAAAAAGGCTTTAGGCAAATAAAGCCTAAGACTCTTGCCAAAATAACAGAAACCACATCACTTGAGGACTTTCAACAGCAGCACATGTAACTTGAGAAGAAAATAATAATATAACCAAGGTGTTAGCATTCCACACTACTTCAAATAAAAGTTAGAAAGGAAACACTGGATTTGAGAAATGTGTTTTCCTGTAAAACTGTTTCAAGAGAAAGATTGTATAAATTTCAACCAAAACAGTACTGGCTTCTCGGTCAATGAATGCCAAATGTTTCTTTGTAGGTAAATATTACCATTCAATACATTAGACCATATGTCTCTTGGACACTTTAGTGGTATAATTATTGAGCCTTAACTCCAATATCTTTACTCAGGTATCGGAACTCTGAATAAATGGTTCTATTCAAAATTCCCAAAAATATTATCAACAAATGTAAAGACGGCTGGAAGTAATAAGTGATGAATTTTGTGAGTCTGGCAACCAAGATAAATATGCTGGCCCAATTAGTAAGATATCTAAGAAGTGTAATTTGTCATCTATAAAAATAAAAATTCCAACATAAAATATCTCTGTTTATTTCAGTATGTTCCTGGCCCACCTTCTGTTAAGCTGTACCTAGAAAAGGTGCATTCATGGTTAATGTCAGTCAACTATTTCATGACCGGAAGCACTTGGATTGAAAGCATCGAGACACTACAGGTAAGTTCTTTTTCTTTTTTTTACAGTGAAGTTCAGTGTATACAAGGACCAAGAGCCACTCAAGGTAGTGCTACAGAGTGAGATAATGGTTAACACTAGACTTGAACAGGTTAAGATTGTAGCTATCAGGGAAGCATCCTCTTCGGATTTGGTTCCACAAAACTGTGCTTCATGGGGAAAAGCTATTTGAGTGGAACTCATATCTGACCAATGGATTATGAAGGAAGTGAGGGTTGTTTGCAACAATGTGTGTGGCATGGCAGATCTTAGCTGTGAAGGTCAGAACTGCTAAACCCTTTTCATGGAAATAGTGATAGAGCAGCAAGAGGCTTGTGATGTTTCATCTGTGAGGAAGTAATTGAAGGGTGGAAAATAATTCATCACCCACAAGAGGGCAGGGATGCTTTTGGAGTCTATCAAGACAGGAAAGTGAAAACTAGGCAGCTCCTGTCCAAATACAGCTCTTGTAAAGATAGAGGATAGCAGGAGGAGTCAGGTGCTTACTGGAGTGGTACAGGGAGCTGGGCGTTTTTTTCAGCATCTTTAGCATTGGATTGGATGTATGCATTTTACTTGAGGTTTGGGTTGAATTTAAGTCCTAGTAGGTGCTCAAGGCAAGGGGGTCTGCCTCAGGGAACATCCATTAATTGTGATCAGTGTAAGTTCTGAGTCTACACCATGATGACGATTATTCTGTAATTTAGACCTTTGCTTTGTGCATTATTCCAGAAAAGAGAATATAAGCTTTTGTCACTTTCTTGGGCATCAATGTAAAAATAAATATGTAATGGAAACCTGGTTTTATTCTATCCATCTCCACATCAGTTGGTTTTATAGAAGAATGTCCAGGAGAAGAAAACCCATGTAAATATATATCTGTTTTAGTTTTTTTTTTTTTTTTCTTGGGGGGGGGGGGGTATTAAAACTATGGTTTCCTCAATACAAGGCCAAAGAGCCACTCAAGGTTGAGAGTTACTGAATGAGATTGTTTTGGACCCTTTCTAAGGTATCACTGTTAAAACTGTAATTGGCTGAGATGCTGATATGTGCGTGTCCTGTATACCTGATGCATAAATATAAATATAAATTTGCCAAAAAAATGGTGTAATATGATTTAAAAAAATACCCCAAACTTGCCAAAAACTAAATTTTCTCATCAAAATCTTTGTTATTATTAAGAGGAAAGACCAAAGTATTTTTTGATTATTTTGTTAAATTTTTAATCCTTTTTAGAACATGCAAAATTTTGATTAAATAATCTTATTTTTTATTTTTTATTTTTTTGCAATGGCATCTTTTGCTATTCCAATGCATCTTTGGATTTCAATGTTGCATTTTTCATCCTGTGTTAAAACAATATTGGATAATTAGGTTTTGTATTTGTTTGATTTTGGTATATTCAATTTATGGCTTGCATCTTGAGCTGTTCCTTTTGTGACCAACCACATATTCTTCATCTGTACAGAGATTGTCTAACATTCACTGCTATATAGGAGGACTGATGTTATATAGTAGTCTTCCTATATCTGAGGTAGGAGTGAATGTGTTAAGCTTTATTTTGCTTCAGGTAATTTAAGTAATCCTCTACAGTAAGTTCTAATGACGACTCTTAACAAAAAATTAGACACCATGATGTACAATATAGCAGTGAATTTATAAAGCATAAAAATTCAACTTAAAGAACACCAGTTTTTAGGAACCTAATTTTTTCAAGGTTTTATTTGCCTTTGGTACTATCAATCCTTGTTATTGGTCTGGCTGAGAGAAATGGTTGTTTTATGATCAGGAATTAAAGCTGATATTTTTCTAGTCATCTTTCTAAATGCTGGCTTAGATAAGTAAATATAGAGTTAAGTCAACATTTTACAATGAAACAGTTACAGAAAGCAAGTGATGACATTCTGACCAAAATATCTAATTAACCCTGTTTGGGCAGACACACCAAATATGTGCATTTGTTTACAGCCAAAGCTAATTATATCAATGGACCATACAAGAGTATACACTAGTTAATAAACCTGAGGGGCTTCTGTATAGTGGCAGCAGGATTCAGAATTAACAATTTAGTTTGTGATCTTTTCTAAACTTTTGCATCATTAGGACATAAAATTCCAGTGCCATGGCAACTAGGCATAGACCTATGCCCTCCCATTTAGTCTTGCAGGCCATTCTTGACTTTTATAATAATGATGACTAAGGAAAGAATGAGAAAGAGGCAAGAATGTACTGGTAATAATATTTTGTATTTTTGAAGCACTTTCATTCTATTCAGTTTCTAAAGAAATGACTAAAACCAAACATTCATATGTGACAATGTATAATCCTACCAGAATATTATATTAGATTGAGCAATAACTAATTTCCTTTTTTAGCTACCAGTTGTAATGACTAATTATCATATTGATTACTAAATCCTACATGGTAATTAAGAGTAAATTTAGAGTACACTTACATAACTTAGTTTTTGCATGGCCATCACAATGTAGACAGTGGATTAAAGGAAAAACCTTGTTCTTCTCCCTGACAATTTGAGGCTACCTAGAACTAGAATAACCCAGGACAAAATTTGGGAACTCACTTGGGCTGTTCTACCAAATACACCATATTCACCTGACCTTGCACCTATTAACTATTACCTTTTTTTCAATAACTACAAAAAGTTCTAATGGGGAAAAATTCCCCTAATGAAAGCCAGATTCATGAATTTGTTGCAGACCTTTTACACAAAACCTGCAGAAGAGCTGCCTGATAAGTAGCAACAAGCCATTATGAATAATAGTGGATATATAATTGAAAAAAAAGTAATTGTACTTTTATTTTTTGAAAAAAAAATGGAAATAATTTATAACTCAACTTAACATATGGTAAAGAGGTGTGAATTTGCATAACAAATTGAATTTTAGTTACCAGAATATTGGTAAATTCATATTGGAAAGTGTTAAACCTTTCACCAATATAAATGAATAATATAAAATGTTTGTTCAGTTTATTAAGAAAAAAAGATGGCAATTTTTAAATTTATTTTTTCTGTATATTTTATTGAGTAACAGCATTTCTGTTTCATTCCACTATTTTCTGCTATCAGAATTACATCCTAACGAAACATTATACAATTTTCCAAGGAATTTTAAATCTTTTTATTAAGAAAATTCTTAAATCATATATGCTATTTCAAATATGCAAAGTCCTTTCCAGATAAGTTGGGACAATTTTTTGCAGTCAACCATTATCTTGATGGAATATTACACATTTTTTCTTCATTAGTAGCATTATTGGGAAAAGAACTAAGATGCAAGTGGGTTACTGGCAGTGAAGGAAATGGAAATAAATTGTGAGGAGAAAGGACAATAAAAGAACAGTGTTCAAAAAGATAGAAGAATTGCATTTAAATTTTTGATGAATGTAGGTGTCAGGGAAGCAAGAAATTGGAAGAGACATTCACAGGTGAAAAGTGCTCAAGAAGAAACTCTTAGAATAGAACTTACCGTTACATCTAGCTATTTCAACTGTAAAACAATGAGACCTAATTGGCAATCTAGTAGTGCACTTAAATTCATTCAGTCAGGGTACCAAAGAGAAAAACCCATTAGAAAAGCTGCTATGAAAATATTTATAGAAAAGACAGAGGGAAGCCATGGTGGTGGGAAAGGGACTAAGGTCAAGATGCCAGGTCAGTTCGGATAACATTATAAATCATTCTTTGGATGTTGTCAAGAACTTCAAGATATATAGCCAGTGCATCAGACCAGATATGACAGCAATATTCAATGAATATACAAATGGTGCAAGATGGATTCTGACTACAAAAATTATCTGACATGACACAATTAACTAAATTTCCTAGCAGTAGACCAACATGAACTCCTGTTAGCAAAAATAGAAAAGTGGTATTAATTTGTAGGCTCATTCAAACAAAATGTGGCACAAGGAACTCCAATGAATACATGGGACCAGAGGGCTAAATGTAGTCCAGCCCCCTCAACATTTTCCCTTTTGGAAACATCTTAGGTATCAAGAATTTTGCATCATGCTATGTAGTGTTGTCTTGCATGAAATATGTAGTGTTCTTGGCAATCTAATGACTGGGAAAGATAGGGAGAATTCCTTTCTGAAGGATTAATCCTGACCCTTCTCCATAGAGGAAATACTACATGGGAGGGGCAGCCCCTTGAGCCCAACAGCAGAAAAGCTACTTGAGTGAGGAATGTCTAATTGTATAGACTGAGCATATATGCAAGTGTTCTAAACCTTCAACTAATGGAAGAATGGACTGGAAACATGGCAACAGTTTAAGGGGACATAACTGAGTAAGAATTAAAAATCTCTTTCTTTTGTTTACCCTTTTTCTATCCTCCTCCTTGTGTGGCTTCTTGCAATTTCCTTTCTTTTAATCCATCAACAAGATAACACAAATGTCAACAATTTGTCTTGATTTGGTAACAGTCAGCCACAATGCGTTTACCAGACCATGGAGTGCCATTTGGTTAGAAACCTCTACAAAATTTTGAAAACTATTGCATAATTGAAAAGTAACTCCCTATTTTATATATCAGTGGCTAGCCAGGAGTCTGTGACTTTTCTGGTGGGGGTTGGTTAAAAGAGCAAGTCTATTATACCAAACCAAGTTTTTGGAAGAACTCGAAGGATGAATTAAAGAAGTTATGTTTTCCATACCACAAGAGTGAAATCAGTTGATGTGATTCCTGGGTGGGTCAAGAAGCTGGTAGTGAAATCTGGTGCCCATATCAAATTTTAAATAAACTCTCATGCTAATTATTTTCCTCTCATATCCATTTCTTGTAAAAATTATAATTAATAAATAAATTATAAGTATTTTAAAATGGGGATTTACTTTTCAATCACCCTGTATTTTTAAAGCATTTCATACATGTATAAGCTGCCTTCATGTATAGTGCAACCTCTGAATTTTTTGGCATGAATTTTAACACCCCCAGAAAAAAAATGATCACCAAAAATGTTACATAAATTTCCCAACAAGCAAATAAATTTCTAGTCTCTATGATACATTGTAGACTGAAATATTGAAGGTGATTGTAACTGCTTATTTTATGTATTATGGACTCTCCCATCTTGTAAAAATTATAGGTAAGATGGGAGAATCTATCATAAATAAAATAGGGAGTTACTTTTCAATCACCCTGTATATAAAGTTGAACCTAGTACCTTTGTTTTTTCTGTGTGAGTCTGACAGTCTCTCTCTCTCTCTCTTTTTAATAATGCCCTTTTATTGTTTGCAGACCAAAGATGCATATCTTCCAGACAAAATAGAATGGATCAGTTGCAAAGGCAGCCGTCCCAAGTATCGTGGTTACCCTTGCAGCCTGTGGATGCTCTTCCACACCCTAACTGTCAGTGCCTATAAGCAGAACAAACATAGTAAGTTCCTGTTTTCAATTCCAGTCTACAAGTGGTGCAGTTTTGAGGTAGTTTGTTACAAAATGCAAATTTAGAATGTTAAAAGCATTGACAAAAAAAAAAAAGAATGCAATCAATTTATCATCATCACAAACAGAAATATCTAAGATTTGGTAACTTAAAACTCGATGTGTGATTGTACTATCTGCACTTGAAAGGGCCTTTCATGCAGACTATATATGTTTTAATTTGACCATTTATATTTGTTACTTCTGCTTTAAAAATAATAGATTCCATTTTGTATATATATATATATATATATATATATATATATATATATATATATATATATATATATCATACTTATTATAAAACCCAGGTTGTGTGTGTGTGTGTGTATCTGTTCATTTATATATTGGATCGGATTTCCTACATTTTTCAACCGATTTCAACAAAACTTCACAGGACTATATAAAATTATCTTGTGGTGGTTCTGACAGCACCAAAAATTGGAAAAACACAATTGTTTTTGCTCAAAATCAATTTGAACAGACGATTAAGAGGCATCACTGTCGCCAGAATGAAAGGGGGACATATTGAGTTATACTTATTATAAAACCCAGGTTGTTTGTGAGTATATGTGTGTTCATTTATATATGGGATCGGATTTTCATCATTTTTCAACCGATTTCAACAAAACTTAACTTTTTTTTGGCAAGTAGTGTTTCTTATTTTCTTGCACACTATTTTCTTTATTTTTACATTCAGAATTCTTTAAAAATTCCATTTACAAGACAATTGTTTATAATAAAATTCTATTCAATCGGTAGACTCATAACGATTGAAAACAATGTTTGAGTTTGGGTTTGACCAATTCGTAAAAAAAAAAAAAAACAAAAACAAAAAACTAATTAAGACATGCATGTCTGTCAACCTTAAACAATAATCTTTGTCAATTTTATTTTTCAGTCTTTATGATGGTCGATACTTGATCTATCTCTTACTGTTACATCCCCAGGCAACGCCAGGCTCTACTGCTAGTATATAAGATAACAAAAGTAACACTGAATTTTTTAATCATACATAAATAATATTTTCTATGATAACTATAATCTCTAATGTCCTCATCTCTGTTTTTATTCCAATGTTTCAGCTTTTCTGCCAATTTGGATAACCTTTAACAAATTTCGAACTGAACACAACACTTTATTTAATTTGCAGGGTAGATTGTTCTCATTCTGCAGTCCATGTTTATCATGTTTTCTTCTTTTTAGTCCTTTTCTGCTGTCCATTTATCCAAGTTCATTAGGCAGATGACTTGTTTTCCCTTTTTGCTTTCAACATATCCTTTGAGTGTCAAATTCTACAAAGCCTATTTTCTCATGAGTACAGAGATCCTTTTTGTTTCCCTTTTCTCTAAAACTTACTCATTACTCACACGTTCAGTCCATGGTATTCTCAGCCTCCTTCTTCCTCATGTCTTTTCCTCATCTGTGAAGAGATTGTCCAGCATTCATTTCCATATAGGAGGACTGATATTACATAGCAGTCCAGCACTCTTTGTTTCTAATTAAATTTTCTTGTTTCTCAATATTTTGCTTGGCTTTTGTAACGCATCTTTTGCTATTTCAATGCATCTTTGGGTTTCCATGTCACATTTTCCGTCTTCTATTAAAACACATTCTTGGATATTTAAATTCTTGTACTTCCATGATAGCAGATATAAAAATGAACAGCCTATCAATACTGTGTCATCTGCATAATAAAGATTGTGTCTATCAATAATAAAACCTGGTAGGACTTCTAATTCTCTCAGGATTGCCTCAATGTAAAAGTTGAATGAGTTCAGTGAAAAGAAACAGCCTTGTCTTACACTCTTTTCTATTTTTATCTATTTACTCGATTCATTTTCTATCCACATGCAAACAGTTTCCTCTGTGTTTATTAGCTTATTGCTAGCACTTTTTACACTGGTCAGTATCTTGATGGGTGACCAATTGGGTACACCAAGTGATGGGAGGTTGGATGTGCAGATGGTTTAATGAATAATGGCCTATGGAGTTTGTTATATTCACTAAGTTCTGGATTATTCTAATATATTTCCCAAACCTAGCAGTTTAATGCAGATTATTGTACACTAAAAGAAGCTGAAAGTTCAGGTTTTTTTTTTCAAGTCTGACAATTTTGCTTCTTTGTGCACGTTTGTTTTTTTTCTTTTTTCAAGTCCTCATTATACTCATCAACAGAAACAAAAATCTTTCAAACTTCGATTTTTCTGCTAACTTAAAAATTTGAGATGGCTGTATTGAGAAATAACCATGTTTATTAGTTTTTGTTTTTTTTCACTAAGCCAAGACACTAAAGAAATCTTTCAGAAAAAAAGATACGGCATTAAGTTTGCTTTGGAGTTTGTTTGAAAAGAAATCTCAAGAGTAAATAAGTTTTAATGAGAAAGATTTCAATGTCATGTTTGTATTATTAATTTAGCTCCTGTCAAGTTCACTTATATAGTTATTTTAATTTTGTATGCTATAATGAGATTATCAGGAAGAGCAGAAATTTTTGTTTACAAACGTGTCTTTCAATTTGTTTCTTTATATCCCTCAACACAGGCTTGGCTTTTTACTAATTTTGTCACTTGAGGGTTTAACAATGGTTTTAGTTTTCATGATATTGATTTGTAACTTTTTTCCTTCATGTCTTTGATATCTTATAAGAAAATTATCTACTTTCTCACTATATATGTATATATATAAGATTATCAAATATTTCCATATTGCTAGAGCTAGTAAATAATCTAAATTGGACAGATTTATGCAAATTAGTTAAAATAGTAGTTGGATGATTGGATTCATTGTTAACATATATACATATAGTTACGTAAAGTAAAATCATTAATCACTGTTTATTTTAAGTATAAAATATAAGTCTTGTCTATTTCAAATATAACATTTTTTTTGGAAATCCCAGTAATTCTCATATAATACATGGACTGCACCAGAATTGCATTAATTTAAATTTTAATTATGTTATATAATGGTCATTCTCTGAAGATTGAGTTGTGCTACTGGTGAGGAATAACATATATATATATATACATACATATATATGTCACCAGGCAGGCCCTTGAAAAGTGGGTTGACCAAAACAGACTTGGTGCAGAGGTGACGGCAGATAGCACAACATGAGCCAAGTTGAAGAGAATTGCCCAGAACCATGTTCATTGGAGAGGTGGTGTTGTGGCCCTATGTTCCCCAAGGAATCAAAAGGCATAATAAATAACTATATATATATATATATAGAGAGAGAGAGAGAGATGGAAGATTTGGGTAAAAAACATCTAATATTTATATTTTTTTATATGTAATATTTATAATACATGTAGGTTTTCAGAAAAGAATTGTTTATATATATATATATATATATATAGAGAGAGAGAGAGAGAGAGAGAGAGAGTTTCCAATGACAGCAATGATTTTTGTCTATGTAGTACATGACAAAATGAATTTGATATATATTCCAAAAAAAAAAAAATTAAACACTTTTCAAAATATGCATAGATTAATATTTAATGTAACTGGGAAAAAATGTGAACTTTGGACATTGCCTTAACCGCTTTTTCTTAGCAATTTTACGAAGATTTGCAAAAAGATATTTAAAACATCATTTAGTTTCAGCCTTACAAGAATAGCCCCAAGCTTACCAAACACTCTTTTGTTTCACCTTTACATTAATGGCATGAACAGACCTTCCAGTCTATATGGTGGACTCATTGTATGAGGGTCAAGCAGCTCAGTTCCTAGGAACTGACAGCCCAAATACCAGCACATATGATTTGATTATAGTAGTGAAGGCTTTGTACAGAACCAACCACACTTTTTGAAGAGATGAATACAGAGACCTTGTGTACTATGTGCCACAAGGTCTTCAAACGACCCTCCACAGGTTTTGAATTCAGAGTTTTTGTTCTCCTAGACCAGTTGCCATCCAAGGCTACAGAACCCAGTCTGTTCTGCTATTTATCCATAGCTAGGGGAAGAAGAGATGGATTAATACTTACATGTTTATACCCTTACAGGTATTAACATGTAAGTGAATGTAATGGATTCGACTGGAATTCAAACTTGGCTCACCGATTCCTCAATCTGAGCTACTATCCACTGCACCACCAGGCCATCTTCCCTCCCAGTTCATGTACTCTATATATTTTATATATCCATTTCAATCTCAATAATAATCCCAAATTTCTCTTGTGTTTGTAATGTAGATTTATGAATGGCAGATGCAGAAATGCCATATGTGTTACGTTATACAGTTGGAAATTTTAAATACTTTTTACATGGATTTCCAGTCAGCATCTTTGCTAGACAGGTTTCATTTTCAACCAAATTTGTGTTAATTCCTGAATAACAATTATATCATTGACAAATCCTTAAAATCCATTTACATTATTTCTGTAAAAGCCTGATCCTATCAGTACTGCTAGAATTAACTCCTGATTTCTAAAGCATTTCTATAGTAAATTCATTAGCAACACATTGACATTGTATAACAGCGCCAATTATCAAGACTTGAATTTAATACTTTTGTTATCAATCCTTTCTGTGGAGGTTATGCTGACCTCTCTACAATGTCAGTGTGTTCATGTTACAAGTTGTCAGAAAGATGAATGATCTCACAAAACGCAGATCAAAGAGAAAACAACAAAGTATGACTTTCCCTTCATTTCATATCGACTGCTTTTCTATCACCATCCCATTTTTCTCTCTTTCTCTTTTCCTATGTCCCTGCTTCAAACTCTCTAAATCTTTTCTCCTACCTTCAAAATTCTGAGTGAATAGATGGCAGAACAAGGTGGAAGGGAAATGGTAAAAGTATAAAAGTTACTCAAAGCCACAAAAGACTGGAAGTTGTGGAAAGCCAAGATCACAGAAAAATAATAAAGGGAGACAACTACCTCAAGTTTCTTAATATAAAATTCTGTTGAATTATAGCAGAGTTGGCCAATATGAACTATATGAATATTTCAAACATTCAGAGTCAGTATGTACTACCAACCAAGTGGGAGAGCCTGATTTGGGGCCCCAGGTAGTGCTTTGTGACCCTTGGTATCTTATCAACATTTGATATTTCTACCTACATTTATATACATTACAAAAGATTTTTATGGATTTTATCCCTATTATGAGTCTTTTTTTTTTGTCTAAATCCATAAATTTGTTTTGCTCATGCTAACTCTCCAAAAAAATACCATATAAAATTCACTATTTTTATCCACAGTATTGAATGTGTTGAAATTATTTGATTTTTAACAAGAAAAATCTCAAGTAGATGTTAAATATTGCCACAAAGCATTGTTGATTTATTTAAGATGGAATGATCTATTATGATTTATTTTAAGATGGAATGATCTATTATGACATGTCTCTAATTTGTATTTAGATACATTGTATTTATTTTCTTCAATTCTTCTAGCTGAATTGTTCACCTATATTGCATATGATCCATTATTGTACATAATTAGGTTACAATAAAAATTTGTATTTTATATGAATACTACCTTATAAAAATTGAGATGTAGTAGAGCAGAAGGCCTGATAACATAGTGGGAAGAGTTTATCATAGATTCAGGGTGTGGGGAGGCATGTGCCCCTTCCACTGATCATGAAAACATTAATTAATATTCCCAATACTACTCTCTTTTTGAAGGAGTCAGAGTATTTGCATTCTGGCTAAGAGACCCAGGTTCAAATCTCACCATAGTTTATATGTCTAGGTGACTTTGTCTCTCTGGACCAATTATATAGCAATCACAGCTTTCTGCGCCATTGGGAAGTCCCTTTACAAGTGGAATTAAGTAGACAAAACCATTTGGAAAATGTTTATAGTGTGTGAATTTTGACTAAACTACATATCAGCAGAGATGAAGTAAGTATAAGTATAAATATATATATATATATATATATATATATATATATATATATATATATATATATATATATTATTATACCAGTTGGCTGATTATTGAAGAAAATCTGCAATCATTATTTACTGTTCTTACTCATTAGTAATGTTTCTGTTTCTAATTTTTTCACACACATTAACCCCTTGTGTCTTAGTGGATTTACTGAAATAATGGTATGAAACCTCCTACAAAACACTGTAGAACAACTGGCTTTTCAAACCTCTTCAAGAAATAAACAATTTTTTTTTTATATCTCGATCATGAAGATAAAAAAAAAAAATTGACGAAGTTTAACCTATGTGCCTGAAATAGAATGCTGTGTCAAAAGAAGAGTTTTTCCCTTGATGCCACTATTATTTTGTACTATTTTCACTACCTCAGCAATGTTTATTTTTTAAAAAGTGATAATTAGAATTTGAATAAAACCCAAGCAGATGAAAGTGAATGTATGCCTTTTCTTTGTTCTTTGCGAATTTATGACAGAAATATTAAACAGTATTTATTTATTAGATTATTTAGTTACAGGAATAATTTTATATTTACAACATTTTAAAAATGCTAACCAACTAATACAATGCAATCTTTATCACTTACCAATTTATAAAGAAATTAATATGAAATTTTTTTATTAGTGCATTTATAAAAATATGTGAACTGGCCATAATGAAGACTTTATTATTTACCATTTTATGAAGATTGAATCAATTGGCAGTTCACTACCATTTTCCCAACAATTCCAAAGAACACAATTCTTTGAAAATTTTGTAGGTTTTTTATGAAATTTTGAATAAAAAGAAATGGTGAATAATAAATATCACATTGTACTTGGTTCACATTTTTTTATAATCTTGTAAATAAACATTGTCGAGGGAGTCTTGGTAGTTTAAAATAATAGCCATATCCTTTTGAGAGTACAAAGGCTAAACATGTCTTTATAAATTTTAAGGGTGGGGTGTTATTTGCTATGTAATTTTATTGCAAACTGCTTCCTCTACAGTAGCCAAAATGATAAGGGAAACAGTCCAAATGAAGTATAGTGTTAATAATTAAAGTTGAAACTTTGTATGTCAAAGTTATGTGGTATAATCATTTGTTGGGGAGGGGCTTTCATATAGGCATCAAATTTACATGATCTGGAGTATTTATTTGATAGCAATATGAAAAACAACAATTATTTCTCTGAGAGGTGCATTTCTACATAAACATTAAACAACATGTTTATAATTTGACCACAGATGTGGAGGCAACAGAAATATGGTTTTATCCATGGAGAGAGTTGAGTAAGCAACAAGGAAGTCTTAAATAAATAAAATGGCAGTAAAAAGAACGCATACTCAGAAACAGAAAGAGACAGCTGAAATTTTGTGGACACATAATGAGGAAAGAAGGCTTGGCAAACTCTCAAATAAAAATAACTAGCATTATATTGTTTCCAACCCCTGCCCAGTGGAGTTTTCTCTTCTCTCAGCATTGTTGTCATGCTATAAAAATAAAAAAATTTTAAAAAAGTCTTGTTCTTCTTGCTGACAAAACAACTCCCCAAACTAATTCTGTTTCATTCAGTTTTGCTTTCCTGCTGATTTCTAAACATTTGGTTGCTCCTTATTTTTCCACTCTCGAAATTTTTTTTTTCTATTTACTAAGTCATTTAATTTCAAATACTTAAAAAAAATAAAAATAAAAACAAATCCCCCCTCTCCAAATGCTAATTGTCAAAGATTTTTAGCTACTTACTGGGCCAAGTTGATTGGTGCATTTTATTTCTTCCCATTGCAATATCATCTAATGACTGTACTCCAAAGGAAAAAAAATTATGAAGGCAAATATTGTTGTACATTAAATATATGATCAACACTTTTTTTTTTTCTAGTGAAGGCAAAATGAGCTTGTGTGAATGGATGTTACTATGGCCTGGGTGGGGGGGTGGAGAACCTTGGCAAAGGAAGACAAACTACACAAAATTGACATAACAAATAGAAAGTTGGGGGGGGCATGATCATACATCATGAAGGCATGTAGTACATAGAAGAAGAATGTGAGATCAGACAATCTTGACATATGACTGTAATTTGTTAAGGCTAATTAACAAGATTCCTTTTGTTTAGAATTGGTTTATGTTTTTTTTTACTCACTTTTACATTTCTTGTGTTCTTGCAGATATCTCGGTACCACCTTACAAAGTTCTTCTGGCAGTGTCTGACTACATCCACTACTTCTTTGGTTGCAATGAGTGCAGCCACAACTTTCAGAAAATGGCCAGCACAATGCTCTCTGAAGTCTCAACATTTGAAGAGTCTGTTCTGTGGTTGTGGAAGGCGCACAACAAAGTGAACAAGCGTTTGAGTGGCGATCTATCCGAAGACCCTGCACACCTAAAGATCATATTCCCATCCAGGGAAATGTGTCCATTGTGCTACATGTCTGATAATAGCAGCACTAATCCAAAATGGAGGGAGAAAGAAGTACTTAGATTCCTAGTATCGTTCTATTCAAAGATCTTGACCTCAAGGAAAACTAACAGGTCTTCGGTTGGGAAGGAAGAAGCAGGAGGAACTAAACTCGCAAAGGATACAGTAATGATGCCACCAATTGGGAGCAATACCAAGGCCATTGTGGCTGTGGAATTGGACTGGTGGGAGAAAAAGCAGCGACGTGAGGATTTGCAAAAATTAATTGCAATTCGAGTGGAAAAGAGAAATCTTAATTTCACTAGTCTTGGTCGCAATCGTCGGGATGAACTCCAGTCCAGGGTCCTCCCACATCGGACAAAGGGCCCTTTCTGGATATTTAATGAAATCGATATTGGCATGTGTGTTATATTTTACATCTTCTGCTTAAGTCTTATTATATTCCTATACTTTCATTTTGCAAGGCGAAAAAACAAACGGTTTTGTAAACTGTTGCCTTTTTGACTGCTAGCAATTCAAAATAAAAATAAAAATAACTAGCTTTATATTGTTTCCAACCCCCTGCCCAGTGGAAGTTTTCTCTTCTCTCAGCATTGTTGTCATGCTATAAAAAAAAAAAAAAAGTCTCGTTCTTCTTGCTGACAAAACAACTCCCCAAACTAATTCTATTTCATTCAGTTTTGCTTTCCTGCTGATTTCTAAACATTTGATTGCTCCTTATTTTTCCCCACCCACAATTTTTTTTCCTATTTAACTAAGTCATTTAATTTCAAATACTTAAAAAAAAAAAAAAAAAATAAAAACAAATCCCCCCTCTCCAAATGCTAATTGCCAAAGATTTTAGCTACTTACTGGGCCAAGTTGATTGGTGCATTTTATTTCTTCCCATTGCAATATCATCTAATGACTGTACTCCAAAGAAAAAAAAATTATGAAGGAAAATATTGTTGTACATTAAATATATGATCAACACTTTTTTTTTTCCTTTAATGAATCATTTAAGTCACTTGAAGGAAACAATAAAGGCTAAATTAATAAATGCTGTTGTTATTTTCATGCTTATTTACTTTTTCTTAAAAAAAAAAAAATTCTTCCAGGTTGTCAAAATTTTGTAGCATACCTACGGATGATAATGGGTATGTCCCCATTCACATAAATACTGTCGTAAATACTATATGTTGGTCTGCAGTTGGAAATTCAATATGGAATTCATTTGACTCACTTCTAGCAGTTGACCACTTAAACTACACACTGCTGGCAAATCTTATATATGTTATTCTTGTCCTAAGTATTATCATTCATTACCAACTTTCATGTGATTATTCTATTCTGTAACCTTCTCGAGATTACAACATTTTTGGGGGATGTGGGAGGATCCCCACGTGAGTTTGGATCCCATCCTCTTCACCAAAATGTTATAACCTAGAGAAGATTACTGAATAGAAAAATCACACAAAGGTTGGTAATAAACAATAATACTTAGGACAAGAACAACACATATAAGATTCTCCAGCGACGTGTAGAAGTAGTCAACTGCTAGAAGTGAGTCAAGTGAATTCCACAATGAATCTCCAACTGCAGACCACAGACCAACACATATACTATTCACTACTGTATGTTATGGGCATGGGGACATATCCATTATTGTCTGTGACTTACCAAGTTAAAAGTCTGGCATTGCTTTTTGTTTTATGATTATCAGTTTACCAAAAATTTAAAAAAAAAAAAAGGTAAGTACTTCATGATGCCCAGAATTCAGTCCTTGAAAATTTCATTTTCTATTGACATTGTTCACTCAGTAGTGGTTGTTTTGCACCTTTCCCTCTCATTAAGATTTTTTGCTACAAAATATATGATAAATAGCTATGGAAATGACTCCAATAGGGTCAATGTTTCATCTGTAGAATTTTTTCGCTTGAGGATGAAATGGAACTAATGTCTTTAATTTAATTACAAAATTAAATTCGGGGCTGTTAGCTTCCATTTTTGAAACATGGTTAGAACTGTGTAGCAAAAAAAAACATATTTTAAATCAATTAATTTATAATATTAATGCTCTGTAAATTTACATTGAGCACTATTTTGTAAAAATAAAAATATCTATAAGAACACCGGATTATATATTTTACTGTTCTTTCTTTCTTTTTATTTATATACATATAGAGAGGTAGAGTGTATATTTTGGCAGCATGTCTTCATTAAGACATGTCTTATTAAATAAGTAGACAAAACTTGTCTGAACTATTTTTAATAGGATTCTCTCATGTTCACAGACAAGCTTCTTAGTATCCTTATTAAAGGAAGAAAAAAAGTTACCGTATTGATGCATATTCATTTATTTCGACATTAGCAAAATGTCATCTTCAGTGTCCTGTTTTATCTAAGGCAAATTTGTTGTTTCTCTGAAAATTAAATTTTTTATTTGTAAAATGAAAAAATGCTAAACTTATGTCTCAAAACAAGACCCTGAAGATGATATTTTGCTAAGGCCAAAAGTACTTGGAATAAATGAATATGCATCAATATGGTAACTTTTTTCCTTCCTTTAATAAGGATGTTAATAAGCTTGTCCATGAATATGAAAGGATCATATTAAAAATAAGTAGATAAAACTTATCTAAATTAGTTAATGAGACATCTTTATATATATATATATATATATATATTATTTATAATAAATTATAATATATATATATTAAATAATAAATTATTTATGATATTTTATATATTAAATAATAAATTATTTATATTTTTATATATATATATATATATAAATATAAATATGGTCTTAAGGTGTGCTATATTTATGGAATAAAGTGCTCAATATCAGAGATAGAGCGTGTGTAAATATAAAAGTGAACATAGAAGTCAACACTTAGAGGCGACAGTCTGTTTCATGCTATATGCAATCATCAAGCCACATATGCTGTTATTTTTCTCGGCTATTTATATATATACGGGTTAGTGGTGCATTGTGGGTATTCTATTATGGCGGTTATTTTACTGGAAGTCGTTAGTTTATTTATTTGGGTCAAATTATATTGATCGTTTTTATTTTTTTGTTTCTTATTTTATTTATTTATTAACATAGTAAAAATTTGTTTATATCACTTATTTAACAGTTTTGTTTTGGTTTGAGAATTTAATTGAAGTTATTTGTTCAATTTTTGGGGTTGGTTGTTGTAGTTCATTCTAACTATCATTTTGGCGGGAAGAGTTTTTAATTTGAGATTGGTTTGTCTATTTATTTACTTGGATGAATTTAGGTCAATTTATTTGTATATTTTCTCTTTTCGGTTTTTAAGCAACATAGTATTTATTTATTTTATTTTATTTTATTTTATTTTTTTCTATTAGTGTATTTATTTGTTTTTATTTTATTTTTTCCGTTTTTCATTTTTTAGGTTACGTAGTAAAAATTTATTTTCAGGCCTGCATTTTGAGATGAGCTCGGATCTTTTATTTAATAATTTATTTTGGTCAGAGAAAGTAATGATAGCTATTTTTTCCTAAAATAACTGCCATAATAGAATACCCACAATGCACCACTAACTCGTATATATATATAAATAGCCGAGAAAAATAACAGCATATGTGGCCTGACGATTGCATATAGCATGAAACAGACTGTCGCCTCTAAGTGTTGACTTCTATGTTCACTTTTATATATATATATATATATATATATATATATTTTGAATAAAAAACAGACCACTTTAAGGTTCCATGTAATAAATTATTTCACCACAGCCCTTTTAAAGGGCTCTGGATCATCAGACTTTACTTCCAAAGGTTGAAATGAAAACATTCTTTTTCATTGATCTTTGTACATTTTAGATTTTATTTTCATATGACTCAGAAGCTGCAAAGACTACTGAAAGCATTCTGAAGACCATTCAAGTTGCAGCACTCTATAGGTACATTTTTCCTATCTCTGTCCTACAGACAGTCCTTCACAAGGAAGAGAGAACTCCTTTCCAAAATAAGGGATATCAACAAAATGATTAAGTAACAAAAATGGAAATAGATGGTACGTACAGAAAGAAGAAATAACAACAGGTGGAGTAAAAGGTTGCTTGATTTGTTTCCCATAGGAAAAGAGAACAGATTAAAAAAATGAAGAGAGAAGATAGTAAGACATAGCAGAAAATAGCATGACTATGGTCATCATGAAAATATTTAGGAAAGACCTTTGTTCTGCAGTGGACAAGCAGTGGCTGATATGTATATATATGAAGAACCTTAAGTGCATGAAATCGTTCACATATCCTGGTAGTAAGGTCAACTCTAGTGCATTTCTTGATGACAAGATCATCAACAGAATTGTAAAAGCTCTGAGTGTTTTTGGTAAACTCTGTCATTGCCTCTGGAATGAGTTTGCGGTAAAACTTGATAAAAAATTCATGTTTCATCTTAACAAGGCTTTTGTATGTCTTCAAATCATGGACTCCGTACACCTTACAGGTTGCATATGTATTCCATGAAGCTTGCCTCAGGCAATCTGTAGGTACAACCTTGAAGACAGTCACCAATGCTATGAATAGGGATAGGCTACCCAAAATCCTCATGTCCAGCCAGATTGAGACAGGAAAGTGGAATATCAACAGCCCATGGCTGAAGTATAAAGACCAGCTCAAGAGTAATCTTGCACCTGTCAATATACCTTACTCAACATTCAAGGCAGTGGTCCCAGATAAACCGGAATGGAACAGCAGATGTCAAAATGGTATCAAGATCTACAAAATGGGTCAGATTGACCAGCTACAAGAAGCAAGAGCCAGGACTAATGCATCATCAACTATACCAGCAATTATGTTTCACAATCCTCACACTTGCACAACTTGTGGACTTGCATGTAAATCACTGGTGTGACCTAAATGTCACACCAGGCATGAACACTCAAACTTAACATCTTGTTGGACACTTATGTTGAAATCAAAAGGAGAGTTATATGATGATTGCAGAATTTTTACAGATGATTGTCATCGGATTAGTTTTACATCACTGAATCAGTTGTCAACTTCTAAATAAGCATAGGGCTCTAAGTGTCACTTTAGCCCAGCAAAGGATTTGTACAGCTTGAGGCATATGTGATATACAAAGGAGGTCATGTTGACAGGATTTACTGGATCAAATTAAGTAACATCATCTTCATGGACCTTCATGTGTCTTTTCAAACCTGAACTAGACTTACAGATTTTAGCACATATACATTTTCAGTTGGAGGAAGGCTATCAAAATGATGTGAAAGAACATTGTCTTCAGATTTAACATTTTTGACAAACACACATATTATATATATATATATATATATATATATATATAGAGAGAGAGAGAGAGAGAGAGAGAAAGAGATGAGATAATGATATATTTTTTATATCACAAACAGTATGGGGAAATTGTATGATAAAGTGGAAAACGTTTACTTGTGACATGTTTTGTCTTTCAAGACTTCACAGACTAAATTTGTTCTGTTGGTAGGACAACATATGCACATGGCAGAG